GTGTGTGTGTGTGTGTGTGTGTGTGTGTGTGTGTGTGTGTTGTAAAGTATTGTCTTTCATTCTGTCTGAAGATGACTTTGAAATAAAGTGGAAAATTTACAGTCTCAAACTGCGTCTTGTTTTGAATTATATATTGAATTCTCAAGATGTCCTGTATTTTCGGAATTTGTTTTTTACTATTTCACACAAACTTTCAGAAATTTGCTATAAGATTGTAAGGCCATAGAAATGCAACTATATCCGATTTGGAGAAATATATTGATACAAGTCATTCAAGTTTTTTTATGTAAGAAATAGAAAACGTTTTCCGTGTTTCTATGCAGTGATAGAAAGAAAGAAGAAAAAGTCAGTGGGAAAACGCGCCAGAGAAAGTCAGTGGGAAAACGCGCCAGAGGGGCGACTCTTTCCACATTGTTGCTTTTTGTTATGTTGAGCGGTAATAATTTGTTTTTCAGGTTGCTTTAATCAAGCGATGTCCTGAGTGATGAAGTAGTGAAAAAACAACCGGCGTTATTATTTATGAATATGGAAGTATGTCGGGAATTTTGGACACAGCTAGAAGAGGACATTTTCAGGAAGTAGGAAGGTTGATTGAATGTGGTGCTGACGTTAACGAAAAGGATCTGTATGACAAGTCAGTTCTTCAATTTGCTGCAGAATCCGGATCAGTGGAAACTGTCAAATGTTTAGTTGAACGTGGTGCGAATGTAAATTCTGAAAACAGGTGGAATGAATCTGTTCTGAACTTCGCGGTGGAATTTGTTTTTTTCGAAATTGTTAAATACTTAATTGCACGAGGTGCGAATGTCAATTCTAAAAACGATAGAAATGAAAGTCCTCTTCACCTCGCTGTTCAATCTGGTTCTCTTGAAATTGTCAAACATTTAGTTCAACAAGGCGCGGACGTAAATTGTAAAAATGTGTGGAATGAAACAGCTCTTGACTATGCTGTAATAAGTGGTTCATTAGAAATTGTCGAGTATTTAATTCAACATGGTGCTGAGGTGACAAATGAAGATAATTGTGGCGAGAATACTGTTGTATTTGCAGCTGAATCTGGTTCTTTAGAAATTCTCAAGTATTCAGTTGAGCATGGTGCGAATGTGAATTCTCGAAACGATAGGAATGAAAGTGCTCTTCACCTTGCTGTTCAAGCTGGTTCCCTGGAAATTGTCAAATATTTAGTTGAACATCATGCTGAGGTAAATTGTATAAATGTGCTGAATGACACTGCTCTTGACTATGCTGCGATAACTCATTCATTAGAAATTGTGGAGTATTTAGTTCAACATGATGCCGAGGTAACAAATGAAGATAATCTTGGCGAGAATGCAGTTTTATTTGCAGTTGAATCTGGTTCTTTAGAAATTCTCAAGTATTTAGTCGAGCATGGTGCGAATGTGAATTCTCGAAACGATAGAAATGAAACTGCTCTTCACCTTGCTGTTAAAGCTTGTTCCCTGGAAATTGTCAAATACTTAGTTGAACACAATGCGGATGTAAATTGTAAAAATGTGCTGAATGAGACTGCTCTTCACTATGCTGCGATCATTGGTTCGTTAGAAATTGTTAAGTATTTAGTAGAGCACGGTGCTGAGGTAAGAAGTGAAGATCATTGTGGCGACCACACTGTTCTATTTCTGGCTTGTAAAAAGGGGAATGGCTTAATTGTTATCTATCTTCTTGAACATGGAGCTGTGGTCAACATAGATACGTGTGATGTTAGAATGCGTTCTCCTTTAAGAATAGCATGCGAGAAAGGCCACATAGGAGTAGTTAAAATATTACTGAAGTTCAAAGTCGACTTACGAAAAGAGAAAAAATTGTTTTTTGACAATGATGAAATCATGGATATTCTTAAGCTGGAGTTGGAGTCAATTAAACGTCGGGAGAGTATACAGATTTTTAGCGCAACAGATGATGCAAAGGTAATAGAATGATTGCCATATTGAAATTGTGTTATTTGAATAGTAATATGCACGGGCTGGTTGTGCAAAGGATCGATAGCGCTGTCCACCCGATAGTGATTTTTTCAACTTTCTAAAATTGTTATTTTAATGGTACAACACAGATTAAACTTTAGTATTCATTAATTAAAGTTTGTCTTTATTTATTGTTAGTTCGCTCTCGAAACGTTGATTAAGAAATAGAAAACGCGTCGCGTGCGTTTATGGTGTGTTATTCACGGCAGCGATGCTGGGAGAATACGGAAGAAGCTGTGTTCCTTTGGTCTATTGTTTTTGGTTTATGATTTTGTATTTAAAAACTCTACAGTTTTCGGTTTATATTTTTGGCTAAAAAGCAGAGATGAAGCGGGAAAAAAACACAGAAAGAGCGGTGGCGCAAGGTAGTGTCACAGAACACAGTGCATTATTGCGTTATAATGCTCGTGCTTTAGCCAGTTAAATTGCATGTTATATCCACTTATATTATTATAATGGCTTTTCTTGCATTTCTACTACGGTTGAAAAAATCACTATCTAAGGTTAGAGCCTTGTGGGACCCCACATCTGATTTCTCTTGCTGACGACATTACCATTACCATTATAGCTTACCATTAGCCGAGCAAACTTGCTTTCTATTCTTGAGGTACAGTACGACTTGAACCAGTGTAAGCTAACCTCCCTTATAGCGTACAGTTAAAGTTTTGATAGCAAGATTACATGATCAACACTGTCAAAAGCTTTTTTAAGGTCAAGAAATAAAACACCGCTTATTAAACCTTTATCCATGTTAAAAAACCATTCATTTGTAGAGCTACTGTAAGTAATGTTGTTTCCGTAGAATGTTGGGAACAGAAACCAGACTGTTACTCCACAAGAATGTTATTTTCTGCCATAAATGACCTTAACTGCTGATAAACTAATTTCTTAAAAATTTTTTGCAACAACAGGAATAACAGAAATTGGTCCGTAATTTCCGCAATAACTTTTCTTTCCTTCCTTAAAGATTTTAGAAACTTTAGCTAACTTCCTGTCGTTGTGGGAACATAGCCCTTTGCAAAGATAAATGTAAAATGTTAAGCAATGGCACATGCAGCAACAATAAGAGCAGCATCTTTTACTAAGTCTTGTACTAAGTCCGTCTAGGCCTGGTGATTTTTTTGGTTTTAACAGGTTTAATGCACCTCTTGTATTGCAATATTTCTAAAATCAAATTATTTATAATATGCAGGAGTCACAAAGCTAAAGGAATCAATGCCATTTTCAATATCAACTTCAATATTATCAATTTCAGGTTTGGAAAGTATAGTGACTTGGTTAGCAGGGCGAGCGGTTCTAAATGCAAGTATTTCTAGTGCTTCCATGAAAGATTGTATTTTGCTGTTTTTATCTTGTTTCTTCAGACAATAAGTCTTGAAACTTGTTCACATGCAACTGCCAACCGTAAGAAAACTGCAACACCTTGACCTATTAACTCAAGTTGCACAATAACAACCTGTAACCTGGAAGACTTACCAGTCCATTTGAAAGTCCAATATTTCTTACGTCCAAAATTATTTCTTCTGCCAAAAATTATTTTGATAAATATTTTCACATAATCAATCTGCTCAAGTATATGGCCTAGTCACAGTGTTGTTAACCACTGTTACAAATTAAGGTATTTTCAACTGAACAAAAAGGTTTAAATACTTGTACCTGAGAAGTATCATGATATTGTGCAATCATCTAAAGCGTTAACCACAAGTTCTTGTATGTATTATAGTAAGGTTGAGGTGATGTCAGCATTAAGTAAATATTAAGAATAGATCCCTTAGCAGGAATATATATCCGGAATAGTAGACTATTCTTTGCCATGGTTTTATTTCTTTTGATAAAAGACAAGGCTGGCCCCAGTCTGCTACAGTGGGGGTGGGGGTGGCTTGTAATATGGCGATCGTTGTGTTAATTTAATACAAGGTTGATCACATGACTATGGCTATGACTGCATTCATGTTTGGAGGTACCCCTATGGGGGTAGTTGAGGGTACCCCAATTGAGTTTTTAAGGGGGGGGGGGCATACGCCCATTGTGGTGTTTCAGGGTACTCTAATGGTGTATTTGGGTTTGGTGTACGGGAATGAAGAGTAGAAAAAGAGGAGGAATAGTAGGTTAAAGTATTTTATTTTAGACAATTTCCCATAACCTTTGAATAAACGAATTTAAATTCTTGCAAATCTACTGTTTTATTGAAAAAAAACAACCAAAACTTGTTTTTGCTCATTTTCATAATTTTTAAAATATTTTTTTGCAACTGGCCGCAATTTACTGACCAGCGACAACAATATCCCCGCCTGTTCTTCACTAATGCTTTCTTCTTCCAGGGTGTAAATAGCCCAGCTGAATTAGTACGCTCGCCCGGGAATGGCGCTTCTCGCCGTTGGCTTGGTGATAATCATAACCATATTTTATTAAGTACTTAGAATTTTGAAATTTTTTCTTTATATGCGCAAGTTAAACACTGTTGAAAAAGAACTTCAGATAATTTCGTCAGATAATTTTTGTTTGTATTTTTTCTGTATACAAGTTCTTTGCACATTTAATATTAACCTTCTGTATATTTTAGGGACCAAACTTTGTGGCTTTGTATAATTTTGAAGGACAAGACAGTGACGATCTCAGTTTTGAAGAGGTGTGTGCTATGCGTTCATTACACTGTCTGTATATGATTGTATAATATTATTAAGTACTATTTAAAAAACGAGCAGGAGTGTTTTATTAGGTTTAAAGCCACGAGCGCGCAGCGCGAGTGGCTTTAGACCTAATAAAACACGACCTGCGAGTTTTTTAAATGGCTTCAATAACGTTTGCATAATAAGTCAAATCTTTATATAAAAATCTTTATATAAAAATCTTTATATAAAAATCTTTATATAGTTTGCATAACAATGATCTTTTGTTAAAGTGTTCCTTAGCTGGTATAAAGACGTATGCACGTGACTAATTTCTTACTTAAGATTGGATAATTGCTTCATGAATTATTAATGAGTTTTTGAAGTTTGTATAGTATTTTTAAATTTTGGTTATAGGATGGTTTCCAGTGCTATGGACCTTTCACCTTATAGCAAATCATGCCTCAATGCATGATGGTAGTTGGGTATTTTTTATTGTTGTTGAAATGGCGGCCATAAGGCGACGATGAACGATTGTTTTCGAAATCAATATGACCGACAGGCCTTTAAAAGTTCACTGGTTTTGGCGCGAAAATATCTCGTTTGAATTCTTGTTTGTTTAAAATACACTAAAGTTATCAGACCAATTTATACAGTCTGTGGCAGAAACACACTATAAGAAAACATGTGCTGGTGGAGGGAAATATTTTTGTGTTCTGCTGTGTATAAACTAGAAGTTACTATCGCAAGGGGCGAAATGCTGCCGTATGGCCAAAAGCTGTTATTCTCCCTGATTGCAAGTATCCAACCAGAATGAGCTTGAATCATGCGTTCTAGTTTAATTAACTTATGCTGCTTTTATGACTCTTTGATCATTTCTCAAGTTTGCTTGTGCCAAATTGCTTATAAAAGAGTTGAAAACTCTTGGCAAATTAATGCAGTTGAATTTTAAAGAAAGCGACTTTGTCCTGTACATACTATATAAATAATGACACGGGCAAGTGGTGCAACACGGACTACTCGTGATTTTTGACCAATGTGCCAATTAATTGCACTCGCCTCGGCGGCTCGTGCAATTTTGGCGCATTTTTCAAAAATCACTCGTTGTCTTAATCATTAATTGCACTCCTTCCCATGTGATTACCTATACTAATATGTTGTGACAATAGTCCACACTGGTAGCTCTAAAAAGTGATGAAAGCACACTACCAACCTCTAGATTGTAGAATGAACACTATGAATTTATCGCCTTGACAGACCGCTACAGAAACATACAAAGCTAAAGGTATTAGTACACTTTGACTTCTTGTATTAGGACATTGACATTGTCTCACATTCGTGAGGCATCAAAGGTAACTCTATATCTATATCTATATCTATATCTATATCTATATCTCTATATATATATATATATATATATATATATATATATATATATATATATATATATATATATATATATATATATATATATATATATATATATATATATATATATATATATATATATATATATATATATATATAGAGAGAGAGAGAGAGAGAGAGAGAGAGAGAGAGAGAGAGAGAGAGAGAGAGAGAGAGAGATATATATATATATAGAGAGATAGATAGAGATAGATAGAGATATAGAGAGATAGATAGAGATATATAGAGATATAGATATATAGATAGATATATATATATAGAGATATAGATATAGATATATATATATATATATATATATAT